CAACAATCAACCCCACGTGGGCGTGTTGTATGACTATCACGAAACATGCATACTGCTGCTTGCCTGCTTGTCGGATGCCACTATGGCTGCGCAATGTCACTATCCTTGCACATGTATACTGCAAGCAAGCGGTTCAGTGCCGCCATCGCTGTGTAGCGGCGGAGTGCCCACATGGCTGCACTGCGCCACTGTGCTTATGCTGCATGCTGTTACTGGCTGCGCAATGCCACTATCATTACATCTTACATACTACTAAACCTCCCTACCTCCCTATCCACCTCGCCCCCCCCCCCCTTGCGCCGCGAGGTGCGGGCGGCGATGGGCGGATCAGCCGTTGCTGCATCCAGGGCGAGGCCCTGGCCCGACTGCGCCAGCGCCAGAGAAGCTCTGGCGCGATCTCGGGCGGCGCAACCGTCGCCGCCCGTCGCGGGCGCCCGAAGCAGCCCGTCACTAACCCGTCGCTAACCCAACGGGCGCCCAGAGCCGACCGTCACTACCCGTCACTACTTTCACCAACCCACGACGTGCCCGTCACTAGTCGCCACTACTTTTCGACGGCCCAGGCGGCGCCCGTCACTAGTCGTCACTACTTTTCGACGGCCGAGCACATCGCCGTTACTAGTCGTTACTATGTTTCACTACACGTTACTATGTTGTCACTAACCGTTACTAGTCGTTACTATGTTTCCACTACCCGTTATTATGTTTTCACTAGTCGTTAGTATGTTTTCACTAACCGCGTGTAGCCGTCACTATTTGTTCACTACCGACATTAAGTTTTCACTATTTTTCATTACTTTTTTTCAGTATTTTCGTCACTACGTTTTCACTAACCGTTACTATGTTTTTCACTAACCGTTACTATGTTTTCACTAACCGTTACTATGTTTTCACTAACCGTTACCATGTTTTCACTACCAGTTACTACCCGTTACTATGTTTTCACTACCCGTTACTATTTTTTATTACGGGGCCAAAACCCGTCACTAACCGTCAGTACTTTTCCAGGCGCGGCGACGGGCCGTCACTATGTTCAGCCCGCGGCGTCGTCGTCACTAGTGCGCGGTGACTAGTTTGGCGGCGCGACTAGTCTCCGGGTTTTGGTGACTAGTACCTGGCAGCTGGCCTGGCGAAACGGTTAGTGCCTGGGGGGGGGGGGTTGGTGCGCGCGCGCGAACTCCCCCCCCCCCTTTGGCGGCCGTGCGCCAGTGCCAATGTCCTGGGCGCTGCACTTGCGCGGCGCAGAGGGCGCCCCTGCGTCGGAATTTTGCAGAGACCCCCCTCCCCCCCGCTCCCCCCCCGACCCCCCCTTCGCCTGGGGTGTATAAAAAACGGGCGCATCCGCTATTGACGCACGCGCGCGCCCAATGTTCGGCCACGAACGTGCGTTCAGTAGCAACCGTCTGCTACACCCGCGCGCCCGATGGGTTGCCGAGGGGCTGCGTGCACCCGCTGGGTCACGTGGGAAGTACGTGCGCCCGAAGGGGTTCATGGGGGCCCCCGACGGGTCCCATGGACTCTGGTGGGTCCAAGAGGTGATTGAAAAAAGTTCGGGTTCCTCGGGGGTTACAGAGATTTCCACGGGATGCCTGGCGTCCCCTGAGGATTCCTGGAGTCCTTGGTGTTCCTTCGGGTTCGCGAAGGTGGCTGGGGGTCCCTCGGGATTCGTGAAGGTTGGTTGGGTTTCGTGAGTATTGACGGGGGTGGGCGGTGATTCCGGAGGGTTGCCAATGACTCCTCGGGCCCAGGGTTCCACGCGGTGTCCAGGAGGTCCAGGGTTCCAACAAGAATCCGAGACGGGCACTTCGTGCGTTTCCATTGGGGTGTCATGTGGTGCCATTTTGGCGTATGTTGCCCCTTCGGGTTACCGCGGCATCCCTCGTGTTCCTGGTGATGCGTGACAATTCCGAGGGATTCTTCAGGGTTCCCGAGGTCCCAAAAAGGGTTCCATACGATTCCGAACATGATTCCAAGGGGTCCCAGAGGCTGTCCTGAGCACCCCTCGGCGTTCGCTTTTATTCCTTTGGCATCCTGAGGAACATTGGGCGCTCGTGCGGGACCCCGAAGATTCCCAATAGTTCCAGAAACGCGTCTCAGAATTCCAAAGGGGAGCGGGTGCCATATGGACTCCGTCTCCTCTGCCCCTAGTGGCGCTTGGAAAGGCGCGGGGCTGCGCGTGGGAGAGCGCGCTGACGCGCGCTGGAGATTGCACTTGTTGCGCCCACTTCGGTTGGATGTTGCTGCCTCGCCCGTGGCCGTTTGGGCAATGGGCGGAGCGTCGGCGATGTCGCACCACCCGCATTTGATTGGGCTGATTGCTTCTCTGGTGTTGGTCTGTCTGTGGTGTGATACCACGATCCCTTTCCATATGTTTTGTCAATGTCCGACTCCGAGCTCGGCGTGCCTTCACGTCTTCTCATGTACCCGCTACACTAGGGCCCCGTAGGGAGTATTGAAGGTTCCTGATCGTGGCACATTCACATGCGCATACCTATATAGTCCAAACATGTATTCAACACATGCCCTTTTGTCTGAAGTGCATTCGGATGCCTATCTGTTCCTTAAGGTTAAGAGGGTCTCTACATAACGGGTCCGCGCGGCCCTTGCAGCGTTTCTGAGGATCCACCAGGATACCCAAATAACCCTAGCGAATCCTTGAAGGTGCCCCGAGACCCCCAAGGATTCCTGAGGACATTGGGGCCCCTGAAGGTTCGTATGGGTTTATCAAGGTTCGTCTGCATTGTTGAGGCTCTGAGGGGTCCACATCATCTCAGACAAATGACTAGGATGATATCTGAATGATCCAGGAGGATCCCTACGGATTCCTGAAAGCACAGATTTCCTCGTGACCACCCCAGGGTTCGAGTCGAGAAACGTTCCCGAATGGTTCTATCATTTGTTTTCAAGGTTGCAACGGGTTGCCCAAGGTGCAGGAGAACTTGTGAGATTCGTGTCGGTAACTAGGGTGTTATGAGAATCCGTGCTGGTTACGCCGCATACAATAGGACTCGTGAAGCTGCCTCGGGACTGCTGACGTATTCCAAGGGTCCGCGAGGACCCCTACGGCTGAGGACGTATGAGGATAAGTCAGGTGTTCCAAGAAACGCCAGCTCCTCATGCTGGTGTCTTGAGGTTCTCGAAAGGGGGCGATGCTAACGCTGAAGATCTCGTAGCATGCGGTGTGGGCCTGACGTGCGTGTGAGTGTGCGTGTGTGTGTGTGTGTGCGTGTGTGTTTGTGTGTGTGCGTGTGAATGTGTTTGTGCGTGTGACCGCGTGTGTGTGTGCGTGTGTTTGTGTGTGTGCGTGGCCTGACAGTGGGCCTGACTGTGCGCTACATGCTCTCTGGAATTTCGCATTCCCACCCGGCCAGCGCACATGGGCACTCATGAGAGGAGCTTAACTTTCAGTAGCGGGGAAAAGGGTTTGGAAAAGCTGCGCCGCACCACGGCCTCCAATTACAGGGTACTTCATTCTTGCTGCGGGAGGCTCACTAGTTTCGTTCGCGCCACATTATGTGTGCGTTGATTGGGCTCCCCGCTCGAAAAGGAGCCCCCCTCGGGGTCCGACAACCCGCGCCCATGCGGGTGGCGCCTTTATCTCCGTGCTTGTCTCCACACCTCCTCCCTATCATAGGTTTGAGCATGTGATGCTCGTTCTTCAAGGGTCAAGGGAGGGGGAAATAGACAAATACACGAAACAACGTGAACGTCAATTCCAGGATATTTTGTGAACTATGGGGGGTGGTCTGATTACTGTGTTGCTCCTGCCAGTGTGTGATATGCATTATTCGCTGACCACGGGGCTCAAATGATTTGAGCGGTCACGTTCGAGCCTCCTCCCAGCCTCAGCAGCTGGTCGTTCCCAGTGCAGTTTGTCAGATCGCATGCTGACCAAGCAGCTCACGAAGAGCAGGATCCAGATGCGTCTGATGAAGTGTCAGATCAAGTGCATGGGAAAACGCATCAGGGGTTTGAGGGCTCGGATGGAGCGCATAGAGGAAGCAGCCGCTCAGGGCATCCAGCATGATGATCAGAACGCTGCGCACGGTGAATCTGCGATTCAGACTGTGAACGATGAGGTTCGGGCTCAGTGGCAGGCCGAAGTGAACGCAGCAGCTGCGCGGCGTTAGGCCGAGTTTCCTTCTCGTTCCTCTCAGGCTGCGTGTGCAGCCGTATGCCGAGCTGCTCAGATTGTTTTTTTTTTCCGGCTGTCAGTTCATAGCCAGCGTTCGGCGACCAGGCGGACTCACCGAACAGTGAAGGTCTGGAGGAACGCTTCATCATGTCTATGCATCCATATCCTCCCTCCTCCTTTTCTCTAGACCCGTTCAAGCCCTACTTTGGTGCAAAACAACAACAGGTGGGTGCAATTAGTCCTCTATGGTTTTCGCGAGGCTCATGCACGCCCTCTATGGTCCCTAGTGAATTGCAACAACAGGTGGGTGCTCTTGGGGGACAGATACCATAGTTAAACTGTTAAACATAAACATAAGCCTTAAAACTTAACACGTAACACAACAACGAACACACTCACATACACACACAATCATACATGCAAGCACACAAACGTTCACGGCAGAACGACCTCACCCAAACACGTGCGTGCACGTCCGTTTCAATGGAGGCTCCTCAAAATTGCCCCCCCCCCTTGAGGCACACCAAGGCCCCGCGATATTTCCGCTGCTAGGACAAGATAAGCCAACCTGCCACCAGACTGGACGCACTGCGTCCCTCCCTCTGGGCGGAGCCTTAGGCCTCCGAAGCCAGGGGCCCCACCAGACGGGCACAGGCGCGACCCCAGATCAGGAACCTGCATGGTTGAGTGCCTACGTGCCTAATCAGGGAATCACTTCCAAACGTTGCCTCACACGCCTGCGCAGCGTGCTCGTACCCCACAGCTCGCTACGCGCTGACCCCCTATGGAGATGATTCGTGACTATAGGGCGTTGGTTCGAGGCCCTCTGGCACGCGACTTCAGTTTTTACTCTTCAGCCTCGACCATGCCCCCTGCCAAGCGCAAAATTGCGCGTCCTGATGATGAGAGTGTCGGCCTTGGTAGCAGCTCTTTGCTGGTTGGCGGTGCAGAGGCGAGCGCAGATGTCATTCCCAAGGCCAAGGCGCCGAGGAAGGCGGCTGCGCCAAAGGCTGGCGGTGGCCTCCTGACCGCAGCATCGCGCGTCTGCAGCAGCAGGGGCCGAGGCGGTCGCGGCAGGGGCAAGCTCCCAGCGGCCTCAGCAATGGCGGTGACGGACGGCGAGACCAGGTGCAGGTGTTGCTTGGCCGTGCGCCCTGAGCTCGGAGATGACGACACTGCAGTGCAATGGTGCTCTCAGGAGGTCCAGGGCGAGGAGGACAAGTGCAGGGACTGCGAGGCGGTCCATGAAACAGTGAAGCCAATGACGTGGTCCGACTTTTGCGCCAAGTACCACGAGTCACCAACGTTCAAGGAGGACGTGTCCAAGGCCGCGCGGGTGCACCGCGGAGAAGAAAAACCACAGTTCGCTGAGGATCGGGGCCGTCTCTGCACTCCCTGGCCCCATCCCCCCCGCGCCTATCTCGCGCCCCCGCCCCCCCTACCAGGGTGGAGGCGGTGGCGTGATAGGCGCAAGGGGGATTTGTCTGGACTTCGGCCTCGCATAGGAGACCTTGACCGAGACCAGAGGGGCGAGCACCATCCTGGAACGAACGGTACTGGCTCTCACCGCTGCCGACATGAAGTCCGCGCAGGTGCAGGATCCAGAGAAGACGTACCCGACTGTGACCATCCCCAACCTGAAGGGCGCCCCAACCACGTGGTTCCTCGCCCAGGACCCACGCATGCCATTCCACACGCTGTCTGTGAAGAGGGAGGTCTGCCATCGCAGTGCAAATCAACTCGTGGATAGCACGTCCGTCCTCTTCGAGGGGCAGACCGCCCAGCAGCTGAACAAGTACAGGAACGAACATATGGACCAGACAGGCGCGACAGTGTTGCACGGCAGCATCCCTGCGTTGCCTGGCGCATTGGTGGAAGGCCCGCTCAGGATGATGCCTGCCGGCCTCGGCGCAGCAGGGGGCTGCGGATTGACCGCTGCGGCGGTGGCCGCGCTCGGTGGCAGTCCTGACAAGACTGGGCCAGGCTCAGTAGCAGCGTCAATGTTCTCCATGCCGCCTCCGTCCACATCGCCTGCCGCGAAGAATTTCCCCTTGGCAAGGGCGCCGTCTGTTGCGTCGGCTGCGTCCTGGATGTTGCGAGCGCCTCAGGGTGGTCATGATGATTGCAGTCGGTCTGGAGGCGAACCACCTGGGCTCGTTGAGAAGAAGTCTGGGGAAGATATTCGGAAGATGAATGCCCACCAGAAGGCTCAATACTGGACTGGACGCATCAGTGTCCACAGCGCTTTGATAGGCGAGGTTGATCGGAAGAGTCTGCGACAAGGGGCTGACCACATCGAGAGGAACGCCGGCACTTCCGACGCTACGCTGAAGGAGCTGATCAACGTGTTGGAGGCCAAGGTGCGGTTGGCAACACTAGCAGACGCCATGTCACCAGATCAGGTTGTCACAATTACCGACGAGGAGACGTACCGCGCGAACATCCAGGCTCTCAAGGGTAGCGAGTGTGAGAGTGGTTGGCTTACAGTTGTCGAGGCTGGCATGGTGAAAAGGCGGCTGCTCCTCTTGAGGGGCAACATTGAGGAGTCCCTCCAGTTCTTGCGGGTCATTACGCCGTGGACCGCTGACGTAGACTTATTGATCTTCGACCCTCTCCAGCCGCTGCTGTGCGCTTGCGGGAACTCTGAGGCGCAGGAGGCTTCGCTGTTCAGCTCCTTATTAGTGCACGACTTGGTCAGCCAATGGATCGAGAAAGGCCCAGGCGAGATTCTCAAGGTCATGTGCCTCGCCGAGCAGGCAATCGACCAACTGATCGCCAGCCAGGAGGGCGCTGAGCTCAGCGAGTTGTCCACTTCCGTGCTGCTGGATGCCATTTCTTGCCTTCGAGCCGTGCACTCCATTTTGGCTCCGAAGATCACCTTCCAAATCTTGAAGGATAAGAACATACGGGCTACCAAGAGGATGAGCGAAGTGGCTAAGAACCTCCAGGACACTAGCATCTTGGCCATGGTCGGGCGGCTCATCATGAAGTCGGACTGCTACATGGCACCAATGCTGGCGTTGTATATGGAGTCGTCGGACGCCTTGCTCAAGCACTCCACTGACCTCCAGAATGCTTGGTCTTTCGCAAAGGGCATACCGCAGGAGGCGATGGCCTCACAGACCACGCACGATGAGTTGGCAAAATATCTAGCTGCCTTCGGCAGTCCCCGCCATCGTGACAGCGCAACTCACTGCAACGCTGCAGCTGCTGGTGATACTAGGTACTAGACGTGTGGAATGCGGCATGGGCGTATCGTGGGACGTCTTGGGGGCCTCATGGGCAGTATCGGAGCACTATTGCGATGTCTTGGGGCTCCCTGGGTGATGCAAGACCTCTAGAAGTCCCCTGCTGGTGCTCTTGGGTCAGCCTGTCGTTGTCTTGAGGCCGTCTGGAAGCCGAGACGACCTCCTCAGAGCAAGTCCTGGAGGAGGCGCTGTCTTCCGATGATGCGAGCGATGAGGAGGAGAGGGGAGGGGGGGGAGTCCCAGGAAATCATTGAATGCACCTTTAACCAGACAGCAAGCACGTTCTAACGCGCCCCAGCGCGCCGATGGCACGGTGGCGGGTCTGGGCATGATCGTGGAATGGATGATGGCGCTGCGCAGCGATTATGTTGATGATTTGTACGAGCTGCTCAAGACCAAGATCGCGGACCACTGCAGCGCAGTTCTGGCCCCCCGTGGAGAGCAGGGCGACTGTGGCGAGATCCACGCCATTCCCCTTGCCAGCATCGCATCCATGATCGGAAAAGCATCGAAGATTTGGCCCCTGTCTGAGAAGTTCCCCCCCTTGAAGGCCACCCTGGCCAAGGTGGAGGCGCTGCGTGGCCAGAGCGAGCGTTGAAAAACTTTGGTGGCAGCCGCGATCGGGGCTAAGGAGCATGTCGCCGAGCGAGCCGCCAGCAAGCAGTACGACCTCGATCCTGATATCATGCGGGTGCTGTACGACGCCGTCGGTCAGATGGACCAGGCGCCCATGGCCTCGCACCCTGACGAGATCAACCAGCTCTGGGAGCTTGTACTTGAGAAGCTGGTTTCGAGAGTAACGCTGCAGTCGACATGCTCCAAATCAGATTGGTTCGCGCTTCTGTTGAAGCTCGAGCAGCTGTTCTCAGATACCGATCCCGAGCACGCCACTTACATGGGGAAGGTCCGAGTTGGCAAACATGACTTCGCCGTCCGCCGCCTGCCCCTGGGACTCGTTGATGTTCGTTTGGAGGGGTGGGCTCTGGTGGCTGTTGGTGATCTTGGCGGGGAGGGGCTCTCAAGGGTTTCTTGGACCTCTGGGGGGCCCGAGAAGGCTCGAAAGATTTCGCGCGGTGTACGCTGTTGCTCAAGAGGGCTCCGCGGGCGCCCCGAGAGGGGCCCAAAGTTACCCCGAACAAGCCCCAAGACAATCCGGCATGCGCCAGAGCTCGCGCTGTCAAACCATGCGCGGCGACAGCGCTAACTCACCTGCAGTAAGGGGGCCCGAAGGCCCCGCGATGTCCCCCAGGGGTGCCCCGAGAGAGGTCCAAGAGGTGCTTGATATAGCCACATGAGGGTTCCACGATTGCCCAACGGGGGCACGTCGCCCTGGGCGGGTGCTAGGAACGTGACGACCTCCCTAAAGAAAGCGCGCCCACCCCCTTTACTGGAGTGGGGTGGACAAACCTGCTCCAGAAGAGAGGTGACCATAAACCTATAGGAAACGCGCGAGAACCTTGCCAGACTGAGGCACGGACGCGTGAAAGAAACAAACATGTTCCAAGATGACATGGGAGGGCTCCGCCAACACCCCAAGACAGCTCCGAGAAACAGAACACGGTGCACACCAACTGGTGTACCTTTTCCGCTGAGACGCGCGCCCTTTTGGAGCCCTCTGGCGGGCTTGCATGGGCCTTCTCGGAAGCGGCCTAGGGCCCTCTGGTGGCTCCGCGCCAGGCACCAGGAAAGCTTCGAGATGGGTCCACGAGGGCCTGTGAGGGTCCCGATGAGGGCCGCCAATAGGGTCTCATGGTCCATGGCGCCCATGTGGGCTCCATCTGGGACACCTTCTGAAGCTTTGATCGGGCATGGGTTGGGCATCTTTGCAACACTTGCGTTGGCGTGTGCTGCGTTGCGTTGCGTTGCTTTGCGCTGCTATGGTTTGCGTTGCGTTGCGACGCATCGAACGCATCAATCTCCGATTCGCCCGCTCCGCTAGTTCAATTCGACGGCCAAATACATATCAACTGCAAACATGCTGCGTGCACGCACATCTGTCCCGCGTTCGCGTGGCCCGTGCCGCCCCGCTTGGTGAACCACGCGTGTGCGAAGTACATGCTGCCATTCACGATTTGTTGGCGTGTCCGAACCATTTGCACGATGTACGTTGTCAATGGTCGGCGGGGTATGGGGTTGCGAGGGCAATGCGAGATGTGATGCGCTCGGCGGCCGCGCATGGGGGGTGGTCGGTGGATCGCCAGACAGGGTCACGAGATTGCAGCCATACTGGACGAGATCATGTCATCGGGCGGCAACGCAAATGACAGATTCGCAGCAGATGCAGACCTGACCCGTGCCCTTCGTTTATCGGGGTGCCTGAAGTCGTATGAAGCGTTGCGCCCGACCGCTCCTGCGCTGCCGTCCACTTTGACTTGGACCGATGCCGATGCGATCAAGGCATCCGCCAGAAGCTTGTTCCAGGAGTTGTATCATGCAGGCGTCTCTGCAACGAGGGATGCCGTGGCCAACGCATCCGTGGAGCTCGAGCAGGTCGCTGGCGGGGGGTCGACGGGAAGACATGGTACGACGGCCTTGCCGACAACGCGTTCAATACCAACTATGACGAGTGGTCGAAAGCAGCAGAGATTGCAACGTCAATGGATGTGAAAGGGAGTGGTGTCAAGGTGAACGCCCTCAGCTCTGTGATCAAGACGCACGCTGCCTTCGTCGAGTGTTTCGAAAAGGACGAGGAGCCCGACAAGGAGTTGCAGGCTAAGAGCCTCCGTTTGATCACGCAAGCCACAGTTTCCAAGATCTCTGGAACGGTGCGGTGGATCTTCAAGACGTGTAAGTCTGATGATGCCCAGATGATGGTCAAGTGCGAGGCACAGCATAAGCTCCTCAAGGCGGTGCCCGACTGGGAAAAGCATACCCACCCGAGCATCAAACATATCATCAAACAGGCATCGAGCTTTGATTGAACTCGCCCTGTTACTGCTGCGTGTGCCCAGAATTCGCTTCAATGCCCGAGCGCCGTGTACAGTGACACTGCCGACGCAGCACGGCCAAATTGTATTGTTGGCGCGACCAGTGGTCACACTGGACAGGCGCCTGGGATCCCTTCGAGATGCTAGTTGCACAGTGTGCGCAGTTTGCCAAATGTTGCGGCCAGCCTCCCCATTCATCAGCAGAGTTGTTTGGAGATTACAGGTGGCGCTCCAGAGCCGTTGGGTTCCGACGTGCATCGATGCTGAAATTTGCCAGCTCTCATGCGTTGACTTGATATGTGCATTCCAACGCAAATTGCTTCGAACGTTCTCGGGGTGTCCATATCATAGCAATATTCGACACAACCGTCCCCCCCCCCCCCACGCTCCAGCATAACACACATGGTACTCAGTATGTAGCAACTTGCCTTTGAAATAATATTAGGCTTCGCCTGTCACCGCCTAGTATTCCAAGGCTGGAGCGCGTGTGCTAGGTCTGTTGGCGGGGTGTTGGCCTGAGACATCCTCGTCATTGGTGAGTGCTGCCGCTATTGGCGCGCAAAGAACTCGGCTGTGCGGAGGCGAGCCTGATCACGTGTAGTATCCATATTGGCCCCATTGTCCTCCTCAAAGCACGGTCGTATCTTCTAGGTCATCGTGCGTATGCTGTTGGGTCACATCGCGCATGTTTCTTGTATCAGATCCTTGGTAACAGGCGCAGCGTTGCAGTTGCAGTGGTAGCCGTAGTTGTAATATTACTAGGGGTCCTGGCATCGGCGGCGCCATAGTAGGCCCCTACCCAGAAAGGTGACGATCCCTGCTGTGCCAACCTTCGAGGTACAAGAGGGGGGTGGCAAAGACACCCGATATACAATGACTCCCAACCGCGACGCCCTCTTGCGACACTCCAAGTCTTTTCGACGGTCTTCAGGGCCCTCCCCCTGAAAAGCGCGATGCCCCCCTCCCCCTCCCCCCTAAAGCGGCTCCGAGGATATGGCACCTAGGGCCAGTGCTAAACAACTTTCCCACACCTCGACAGACACATGTAGGGTTTCTCTTGGGACCACCTTGAGCCCCCTCTGATGGCTGACAGCCCTTCAAGCCTCCACCATCGAGCCCTCTCCAGGACCTCTCGGGGCCTTGCGCGCATCTACGAAAGCTTTCCTCTGTCCTCCACAGCAAAACGCAATATTCCTAAGGCGGCGCCGCAGCCGTGGCATTCGGGGCCATTGTATCACATAGTTGCTCGCGCGCCAACTGCCAAATCCAATGTTTCCCTTGGGTTCCCCCCCCCCTTCGAGGCCACCTTGATGCCTTGCACCCGCAGCGCTCTCAGGGTCATCTGCTAAGCCCTTCCCCCCTTGGTTGTCCTGGGGCCTGTGGGTCTCTTCGGGGACCTGCTCAGACTTCCTGCGAGCTCGACGGGCGTTCGCGCGAGCCCACCCCCCTTCTTTAGCACTTAGAGGTTTTGCCTTGCGTATCTCGCGCAAGCCCTAAGTGCAACCAACCAGGCCACCCTCGGGGCCCAACGCAGGCTTCTTTATGCAGCGCGCCGCATAGTGCGATAGTGGTACTGTGGAGCACACAGCGAGCATTGAAGCCGTGGTCCGTGGCAAATGCACACGACAGTTCCCTTGCGCCAGTGTAAGGAACTGATCGGACTGAAACGCCATGGCCGTGCGAACGTGAAAACACTAGGGGGCGCGAGCGTGTTCATTCATATGGTTTGCTCGAGCAGAAAAAAACTTAAGTCACTAAATTTCCGACACTACTTCTACACTACTTTATTTGTTATGCACTACTCCGCGACTATATTTTCATTATGTTTGCGCTATGCCGCGAAAATGCCCGACACGACCTTCACACTACTTTTTTACTACTTCTGCACTTTGGGTCTGTAGCTCCTAACAAAGTCACAACGCTAAGTCT